TGATTGCACTGTTTTTCCCAGTTTTACGTCCGTCCGAGGATCTGTTTTTTTTTTTCTGTCTGCCAGCGCATGCGCACTGATGTGGTTTTTTGAGGAAAAAAACGTCCAAAACGTACGAAATAGTGTGCATAACTTTTCGTACGATTTCATACGCACTGATAATGAGAATATGTTGTCAACTGACTGTAATAATTAACTTCAGCTGATTTATAAAGCACTAATCCACAGCAAATGTTATCTCAAAGGTGCTTTGCTATAAAATCATAATCCAATTTACATTCATATATGGTAAATTATAGTGTTATTAAAAGCTATTTTATTTGGGCAACTAGAATAAATTAGGGCAACCCCTAAAGGAACTACATTATAGTTAGTCTATTTCTGTTATATAAGCTAATAAAAAGAATTATATAATTATTAAATAAATTCTGTATTTATTTCCAGTTTTAATGAAATCACACATTTAAATAAATGTTTCATAAATCTATTTAATATATTTTGGCGTTCTTCGCCCTCCATACTAAATACCTTAGCTATAAAATAAAGACTCAGAAAAAACAGATTTGTTTTAAAAGAGGTTTAATGAAAGAAAAGGTTTTTGAAATCTTAGAAAGTCCAACAATTAATGACATTTGACAGTTTTCTCTTTCACTTTCTTCGCTCTTTCACCAACAATCCGTATGATTTGCTGCGTGGAAGCGCTCCATGGAGCAGCCTGGCATCAGTCAGAGGTTAGATCCTAATCCAGGAGCTGCTGAGGAGTTTGGATGACTTACAAAGAAAAAAATAAATAAAAGGTTTTGCTTTCATTAAACATTTGCATCAGATTACGAGGGATAATCCCACCTTCACACAGATATTCTATTGCTAACTGATTTTTTAAATACCTGCTAATAAGGAAAGGTAGCTGTTAATTGGAGGAACGGAGAGCTGTTCTTTCCCAGATGGGTCACCGGCAGGATTTTTAAATATTTTGGGGTGTAATTAATTTTTAAGAAAACCTGCCATGTTTGGGAAACAGCCAGACATGAATCCCTCCTCCAGCAGTCCTCACCCAGATAAATAAATATAACAGATTTTATCATCTAAGCTAATCAGTAAGTCTTTCTTCCATGACCTGGAATTCAGGTAATTATATATATATATATTTATATAATGTGTGTATAAATGCGACTCTCCCACATCTGGAAGATATTTTTTCACTCTACACACAGTCTGCAAGCATACAGCAAAAAAGAGCCGCTTTGCACGTCGAACCTTCACTGGCCGGATGATTCTCAGTGCAGCATGCAAGTAAAAAGGTGCACAATAATAAACGTCTTTAGCTTCATCGCTCCTTCATCACATCCACCGTCGCCATGACCACCATTCAGCTTTGTTTTTTTAACAAGGTCATTTTTAGATAAGAATAAGAAATTACATTTTCTTCTAATATATTCTGCATTTCAGAGCATGCCAAAGATTTATTTTTTTTCATAGTTTCTGCATAGTGCTGGCTATAGGAGCGCCGGAGGGCGCCGGTTCTTTTACAATAGAAACAG